CAGTAATTCACATGCCTTGAAGTTCAGAGAAATTAAGTCTATGTCATCCTCCTCGCCTTCAGTTCAAAGATCTCTTGGCACTGAAAGAGTTTCAAAAAGCACAGATGCTCTGAACTCTAGTAGAGTGCTATCCACAAGTTCAGAAAGGTCAGGTCATGCTGTTAAGAACTGCAGCAGAACTTCTGATGTTTTAAAGTCTAGGGAAGCTGGAACTCCACCACCCAGTGTTTCTGATGCTCGCCTTGCATCTGCTGTTGGAGGTGCACTTCCACGTGTAAAATCTGGAAAAGTGGACTGTGTTGAGGCTAGTGATACTGTTTCATCTCAAGCCACAAATCTTTCAAATGATAGGAATGGCTTGAAAACCTCTGTATTTAAGGTTTTCGATCAGTTTCGAGGATCCAAAATACCAAAGCACTATCCTTTGGGAGTTGGGAGTGAGATTGCAGGAAAATATAGCGAGAAGGTTTGACCTTTTACTGTTTTGTAGTGCCTATTTCTTAAGATTTTAACTGGCTAGAAATAATTGTAAATTGATCATCTGTATTTGTTTCAGCAGGAACTCTTTTCTTATGAATTATTCGTCAAGCTTTACAATTGGAACAAGGTGGAATTGCGCCCTTCTGGCCTTATAAATTGCGGTAACAGGTAACATCATGTGGTACCTGTTCATGTGGTCGTTTTTGGAAGAAAAATAATTGCATAGAATCAATTAGTCATGTGAATCGGATTAGATCTTCAGAAAGTCTTGCAGCTGTAACCTTGCTTTTAGTTACTATGTCTTCTTGGTAAGGTGAACTTGCATGTTGCTACTTGTTGCTTTACATAGTCAGTATTACCCAGTTCCACATATATGGTGCAATTCCATATTTCAGTCTTCTAAACCAGAAATGGAAAATGACCTTGATGTGAGGACACGATTATTACACTGTTTAACTGAATTTGCTTCAATTATTATGTGCATAAAACTTTATTATATGTTTTTGCTCGTTTCATTTTATAACAGATTTGATGGATCAAGCTTTGAGTTTTTTTATCAGAAGTGTGGTCATTCTGTTTTTAACATATTCTCTATTTTTATTCTGCAGCTGTTATGCCAATGCAGTGCTACAGTGCTTGTCATTTACTCCACCTCTGACTGCTTATTTGCTTCAAGGACTTCATTCTAAAGCTTGTAAGCTTTCGAACATGCTCTCCCCTTTGGATTCCTAGCAAGTACTTGTTTGGTACAGTCAGTAGGTCTTGTATTCTGCACAGTTTATTGATGAGATTTTAATGGGTCAGGTGTAAAGAAGGGATGGTGTTTCATGTGTGAGTTTGAAAGTCTAGTTTTGATGGCAAAGGAAGGGAACTCTCCTCTGCCTCCTATGGGAATCCTTTCCCAGTTAAGAAAAATTGGAAGTCAACTTGGTAATGGGAGAGAAGAAGATGCCCATGAATTTCTAAGGTGTGCCAACTCTGTACATCTCTGGAGCCTAACATACTATTCTATGCATTAGTAACAGTATTACTGTTCTTCTGGAAAAACCTTTTATTGACTTGATAAGTTAAATTGACAGGTATGCAATTGACATGATGCAATCTGTTTGCCTTACGGAAACTGGGGTTAATTCTTCGCGCTCTTTGAACGAAGAAACAACTTTAATAGGCCTTACATTTGGAGGCTACCTTCGATCAAAGGTATGTATTACTGTTATTATAAGTTTTATACAACCAAGTTTGTGTTATCTTGTCTGAGCTTGGATAATAATTTTCCTAATAGAATGTATAAATTTGATTTTGTGTTGCAGATAAAATGCACAAAGTGCCAAGGCAAGTCTGAGCGGCAGGAAAGAATGATGGATCTTACTGTAGAGATTGAGGGTGATATAGGAACCCTGGAAGAGGCTCTTCGTCGATTTACGGGTACTGAGACCTTGGATGGGGAGAACAAATACCAATGTAGCAGGTTAGTTGTCCTTTTTTTCCCTTTTCTTCTATAAATATGTTTGAACATCTATTAATTCTGGTTACAGCAAACATTATGTTTTCTTAATCAACCTTTAGGGCAATGAATTATAACTTGGTGAACCATTTTGGCAATGCGATGAATACTATATTAATTTCACATTCTGAGTAGATATTATGGGCTATAGGGCATCAAACTAGGGCTTCAAACTCTCTGTTCTATATACAAAATTGAATCATACTATTATTTTCTTCGCTTTGGCTTGATTATTCGCCAAGGTTTGGTTTAGAGTGAAGGGTACACGAAAAATGAAGTTCTTATTACAATTTTAGTTCTGGACCTTACCAAGGTTAGTTTTTTTGTCCGATTGTTATCAAATTATACTGGATGTAGTTTTTTTTTTTCTGGAGTTATTGTATTCCCCCTCTTTTCCCCCTTTTGTAGTCTGCTTATGGATGGTTACTCATTGATCTGCCCTCAGAGTTTGAACAACTATAAACAAAAAATAAATACATTTAAGTTTTTCTAATTTTATGGAATTGTTGGCTAAGATGCACTAATTTTGTTGGTGCATTTCAATATCATGTCAATCAGTTGCAAATCTTATGAGAAGGCCAAAAAGAAGTTGACAATACTGGAAGCTCCAAATATCCTTACAATTGCACTAAAGCGTTTTCAGGTAATTGAGTTATTGAAGGACGTGTTTTCAGTCTCGGGTTTTTGTAGATTCCTTTTCTTTTATCTGATGTGTTCTCCTGTAAACAGTCTGGTAAGTTTGGGAAGATCAATAAGCCTATCCGGTTTCCTGAGATCCTGGACTTGGCACCTTTTATGAGTGGTACAAGTGATAAATCGCCTATATACAGACTTTACGGGGTGGTTGTGCACTTAGATATCATGAATGCAGCATTTTCTGGTCACTACGTGTGCTATGTCAGGAATTCCCACAACAAGTGGTTCAAGGTTGATGACAGCACGGTATGTTTTTTACGAAGTTATTTCTTTAATATGGGTTGCAACTTTACTCTTTACTTTGTTGTTATTTAGCTTTTGCTTTTAGCTATCTAGTGTCTACTGTAAGTCAATGGGTTACCTGAAGGAAAATACAACGCAATGAACAAGGTTTCTCCTTCAAACTTCATTTAGTCTACATGTAAAACAAGAAACCGTAGCCCACAAGGATGACAAAAAATGAACTGTCCCACAAATGGTCAACCTCCTTCCACGTCACCCGAAGATTTGGTTCTCTACAACTACAGGGATTTATATTAACTATGTTTGTCACCGATGAAATTTTGTTTTACCTCCAATTGTGATGATATGATGCATTATTAGGTAGCATCCAACCCTTTTAAGAATTACAACTTGAATTTCTATACTGGACCTTTCAGCGATGTCTTATCTTTTAGTCTCCAGTGTCTTGCTTATTTATTTTCATGCATAACCAGAATGTTGTTGTAATTTCATATCCTAGGACTTTTTAACTGATAATGTGTTGGCTTTGGTTGGGCAGGTAACCCCTGTGGAACTTGAAAAGGTCTTGACGAAAGGCGCTTACATGCTTCTTTATTCAAGGTGATGGATCTCTTCTGTTTTGTTTGCTCTTCTCTCTCCTATCTTTCTCTCGTATAGTTCCTTTCGTCGCTGTTTTTTGGGCTTTTGACTGAACTACCTTGCAGATGTTTGCCAAGGGCCCCGAGATTGATAAGGAACAGAATTATATCTAATGATCCCAAACATCGAGCCATTCCTTCTTGGATCGGTGGAAAGGCTACCAACTTGAAACCCAAATCTGTCTCCAGACTCTCCACACATTCGGGTGTTGACCATTCTGTACCCAATGCATATCCACCAGAGGAGCTGCGAAGGATTTTGGAAGAGGACTCATCAAGTGACAATTCTTCCCTTATCAGCAACAACTCCGACGAAAGTTCTTATAGTACTGGTAGTACTCGTTGCTCTACCAGCACCGATGACTTGTCCGATTACATATTTGGTCATTCCGGGCGTGGTTGGAGTAGATCCTGGAGAAATTTTTCGGATTCTGACACTTCTTCCACATCCTCTTCCTCACCCTCCAGTACTAAGCATTCACCCCTCTCTGATTCGAACAGGTATGCTTCAGTTTCCCCTGAAACTATTGGGAGTAGCAAGCCAGTAGATTCGTTTGGCGCAGCGACGGTTACTTTTTTGCACTCTGACACCACTAAACAATGTAGAAAGTTAGCAAGTAGTAGTAGTAGAAATAGGGAAACCGGCACGGAGAGATTAGGACCCGACTCTTTAGGGGATGTAAAATTTAGAAAATCAATAGTAGAGAAAGAACGGTAAACATTTGATTCTCGTATATTTTATGTTTGAAAGCGGTAAATAAAAGAGATGGAGGCCGTGGCCTTTTTTCCGGTTACCCTGTTCAAGTCTAATATTATTAACACAACCATCTTAAAGCTTCGACGAAGATATGGTGCGTGAGTGTGAACTTTTAGCCGTTGATGCAAATGAGTTTCACAATGTTTAATTGTGCGTAGGCGACTACAGGTAGAGAAGTAGAAGTCATTGCTTCGTTCATGTCGTAATTTTAGTTTATGGGGATCAAAATTTGTGTTGAAGTTAACAAAAGATGGCGGAATTCGTTCAGCGTTTGAGTAAAAGCCTCTCTTGTAATGCAAATAGGAAATAGTGCAACCGGACGAAAACTAAATAGAAGATTTCAAGGTCTGATTTTCGTTTATGGAGAGTTTGATACCTAAATATGACTAACTCATCATATGTCACATGACACATGATAACAACATACGACATCAAACAAAAACAAGGCGGGTACAAGTAGGGGTGGGTCAAGTACAATTATCGTCCTAAAAATCTCGTACCAATTTTTGTATCAAACTTTCAGTATACCGAAGTTCGGTATTACCAAATAATTTGGTTGACATGGTATGATAATAGTAATTGTCACTTTGTTTTGGGACAAAATCTAATTTTGTTTTTGTAACTCACTTCAAGGGAAAAACTTTTTTTTCTTTTTTTTTTTCTTATACCTTTATCTCATACATTGTAGCCTAAATTCATTTATTATTCATCATTCACAATTCACGCACACAATAATTCAAATGATATGCATCAAGATTCATGATGAAAATTAAGCCTACAATCCAAATAGAAGTTATGAACCAAAACAAATAGAAGTTAACAATCCAAATAGAAGCTAAAGTTTCAAACCAAATGAAATTGGAACTAAACTTCAAAAAGTAAAATTCATTCATCAATCCTTCAAGCTTGAGATGCCAAAGCTTTTGGAGAAGGCATTGAATTTGTAGAAGATTGAGCTTGTGTCAAGACTACATTACAAGCAAGGAAAACATATTAGTAGCAAGAAGAATTAAAGTTGAAAACCATTTAATGACAAATTTACCAAAAAAATTAAAACATATCATACTTGTTTCCACTTCTCCCATTTCTTTGTAAAATTGACGCATATCTCTCGTTGGTTCCTTGTAGAAGTTTACTTCATCCGTCCTAAGCCAATCACTAGTACACACTAGTGTTTCTACCATTTTAGGAGTCAATGATGCCCTAAAAGGGTCCACAACCCTTCTCCCTAGGCTAAATGCATTTTCACTAGCAACAGTAATAGTGGGGGTTGCAAAGATATCCTTAGCTATTTGTGAAAGAATTGGGAACTTTATTGTGTTTGATTTCCACCAACTCAAGAGATCAAAGTCACCAACACCAATGCTAATAAGTAGGGTTTTATTTTCAAATTATTGGAATATTATAAATATATATATTATAAATATGTGTTATATAATTATATATTATATAATTTATAAATTATATATTATATTATATTTTACGGTACTATAATACCATGGTAATGGTATCCATTACTAATACCGTATCAAGAAATTTCAGTACGATACAATATCGTACCATTACCAATTGACATAAAAAATTTGGCATAAAAGCGGTATGACATGGTTGATACGCCAATTTGGCAAAAAAATCCACCCCTAGGTAATGAGTATAACCTTGGAAGAAAAACTTCGGGTGGGACTTTTGTGGCAAATATTATCTAGTTAAAATAGAACATGTGTTACAAAGTGTGAATGTTCCCAAACAAACATTCGTAGTGCGAACGTCACCCCGAAAAAAAGGCTTATCTGCAATTGAGTCAAGATTGAAGGCGAACCAAAAATAGAAAGAAAAAAAAAAGTAGTCAAGAGTGAAGGCCAACCAAAAATAGAAAAAGAAAGTGGAGGCTGTCGGATTTTAGTAAAAGTGAGAAGTTGGGGCATATAAATGTTGACCGGAAAGTCAACTATTACTCACGGCACGTGATCGTTGGCGGGGAATTTGAACGTTGAAGGAAGACAAACCGAATCGAATCACTCCAAATAAACGGCCCACACGTTACAGACCTAGCCCATATATGCATACTTACAGACCTTGGTCCACATCATCCTCTCCAAGTTGAGATTCAGAATAACTTATACGGCAAGGATAACATCTCACGTGATATTTCGTGTCAATAAAATTGAAATAATGAACGAAAACTTACATAAGTTTTATTTTACTTGCACAAAATGATACTGTGATATAACAATATACCGATGTCATATAAGTTCTTTCTTCTTTAAGTTTCAAATTCAAAGATCAAACCAAAAGCGCTGTCAGCACCAATGATGACAGCCTTTAGACCCTCATGCCAAGTTGCACCAAACCCATGCCCTATTCCCATCCACTTGTTTGGGTGGACCCCGTCGTCTTGAATTTGGCCTACGTTTAAGCCACTTGGATTTGGTGGTTTTTGGTTGGGGATAGATAAGAGTGGAATCATCCAAATTCTTTTGTCAAGTTGAAATTAATGTGTGCTCATCGGCTTGAACTTAGTTCCCAGTTGAACATGGATAGGTGTGTTTTATTATTTTCTACATAGTTTGGAGTACTACTCTCGGTTCTTTAAAAGCATAAAATATCAAATCGATCGCATTACTAATTCTCTCGGCAAAGAGTTGCTTGATTTTATTTAGGACGCTCTTTAGGCAATAACAAGATCTAAGTCTTAATGTTGTTAGACTATTAATTACTATGCAGTAATATCAAGGGATAAATAGCAGACCAAAGGGAATAAGAGGAATAGATTTCACATTTGAATGATTTGTCTGGAGGAATGAACTATACTTTTATAGATACTCTTTGCTGAGAGTTGTGAGATTTTTTTAAATGGTCTATCTTTTCATGATAAGACCAAGGACGGAGCTAGGATTTTTTTTCTTCGGTGGTCTAGCTGAAATTAGTACCATAAAATCATATCTTCATTTTTCTGCCTATATAAATATAATAATCAACATGAAACAACAACAGTAGAATATATATAAACTATTCTCAAAATCGTAACCCTAACTGACTAGATAAATAATTAACCTACTAATTAAACCAAGAATAAGTAAATAAAGAGATTAAGATCATACCAAAGGTGGCACTTATTGAAAAATCTCAATAGAAAGTAAGGAAATTGCAGAGATATGAATTTAATGGTGGATTCAAACAATTAAAGCATGCGTTCACAAAAATCCTTCCCGGACTACGCCCCTACAACCCACCTTAGTCATAAATCTTATCACACCCGTTGATTATACGTATATCCATATACCAATCTTATAATGCGCCTCTGTACATTAAATACACATATAGTAAAACCAACATCATCATAATTATATTCCAACAATTTAGTGACTTTTGTATTTCAGCTTGATTTTGAATTCCATTTGCCTTTTTTTTTCCAGAAACAAAGTACGTACGAGTGGATATAAAGTCCCGATCGATATTTGATAATTTGATACTGGGCGGTATATATGTTGGAAGAATCAATCTAATTAATTACATATAAATTACTTGAGAAGGGTATTGTTTGTTAATATCCAGCTAAAAAAGAATTCAGTTGAAGAGTCATGCATGCAACCAAATTTCATGGGCAAAGCATATAGCAAGCATCCATGCATGCATGCAGGCACCGCGCCTGAATATATGTGGATATGTACACGGTTTAGCTTTTCCACGGAAACTGAAAGTCATGAAAAAAGTTAGACAGCCGTACACACCGCAAGTATCCCTTGTGTTACGGCGATGTCCAAGAAAGCAGCAACAATGTTCTCATTTTTCTTTTCGGCTGAAAGATTGCTGTCCGACGATCTCTTTCCGTATGCTAGCTCATGCTTTTCATCAACCTCGCCACGCATTGCATCTCTTGAGAGTTAATGTATCTCTCGTTGATGGAATGAAAGGCCTTATATGAATTTATAAGTTGAGTTGCTTTTTAATTAGTTTTATAGTAGAATTTCAACTATTTTTATGACATCAGAACATGTTGTCCCGCGTGTGAAGCCTAACGTCTACATGTGCTCCACGTCATCCAATTTATAATGTTTACGTGTTAGACTTGAAAATTAGCTATATGTGAGGGGGAATGCTGAAAATAAATCTCACATAAATGAAAGGAATGATCTTGCATGAACTTAAAAATAAGTTAAAGCACTCACTCTATTACCGTTTAATTTTAGGAAAAATTAGTATTTGGTTCCTAGTTTCTAATGTTCATTGATTGAGACGTTATCACTTTTTAGATTTTGATCAAAGTTCCTAGTATTAATGTATCAATGAATTACATGTCAGTTACATAATTTTTTAAAATAAAAATTAGTAATTGATTTAGGGTTTTAATACTCACATCTTTATTAAACTCCTAATTAATTTTCAAAATATAAAAAAATAAAATTAGAATAAATTTTTGCACATTAGTTTTTTTTTTAATTTCAAAATTTCATAAAAAAAAAATTCAATTTTTTAATCTTATGTGTACCCATTCATATACCAAATTGTTATCTGTAAAATGTACCTTTTTTAATATAAATTGAACCTATTTGTTCATATAAAATTCATTCAATCTTTTTTCTATTCCATTTTTTAAACTTATATGGATACATTCTATTTGGTTGATTTGAGAATGTATCCATGCCAAGTTTAATAGAAGAAATTTAATAATGTTATTAAGCCTAATATATATATATATATATATATATATATTGTGAAAAATGTACCCATGTTTTGGTGCAATAATTTTTTGTTTAGTTTTGATGAACGTATCCATGTATATGTATAATCTATTGGAGAGTATAATTTATCTATAATATTTTTTTTATCCCATAAATTGTGGATTTTATTTAAAAAATCTCATTAATATAAATAACTAAAAAAAAATATTAATTTAAAATTATAATAACTTACATAGAAATACATTATTACATTAATGTCAAGAATTTTGATCAAAACTGAAATCCACAAAAATTTCAATAAAAAAATATTATTAATTAAGGACCGTCAAAGGCATAATTTATGAATAAAATATTATCCCAATTTTATAATAAAAGATTAACTTCTTTATGAATCCATTCAACGACTCATTTTTCTTTTTCTTTGAGAAGGCCAGTCAAAGGCATAATTTATTATCCCATTCATAGTAGGGTCACCCTTTGACCCGTGTTTATGTATGCCCCTGACCCGATGAGCAATTTGAATATACATATTGAAGTACAATGACTAAAATACCACGTGCATATTATATTGTCGGTGCCGCGGAATGTGGAATTTATATTTATTTGAACGAAGTGCCGATTTAATATTTGAATTATCATTTTAGTAAAAATTAGATCTTTGATTTATTTTTTCAGTAAAATAAGTTCTTAAAGTCATTAAAAATTACTAATATCATCCATATTATTATATTTAATGCTATTCTATCAATTTTTTTATCAACTTAAGTCACTTGATATACTTTAGTGTGTAATACCGCTATTTTTTCGCTTATAAACCCTTAACATTTCATTAGGTTGCGAATCTAACATCTAATTTACCTTCCATTTTTTACACTATTTCTTATGAAAAACTATCAATTTACCCTCCAAAGTTAATTCCATACACTATTTCTTTATGAAAAACTACCAATCTATCCTCCGTGTGTATCACATGCAAGTAATGTGACTTAAATTAATGGGAAATTGAATATAGTAGCTTTGAATATAATATTAGAGATGTAATTGGCATATTTTTTTTAATTTAAGGATTGATTTTTTCTAAAAAAGTAATTTAAAGACCTAATTTTCACTAAAGTGATAATTTAGTAACTAAATTAACCGTTTGCGCTATTCATTTTATTATGAATTAACAACAATATAATACATTCTCTGCAATAAGAAAATGAAATTTTTAATACATTCTTTGTAATAAATAAATTTTTTTAATAAATTCTATGTAATAAGATGGAATTATATATGATGCCACGTGTACCAAGTTACATTTTTTAACAATTGTTGGAACTGCATGCACTGTGGTAACCCAATCAAATAAGTCCTAATCAGCTAAAAAAAATTAAAATACAAGTAGCAAAAAGAAATAGATCAACATCTTTTACTCAGGCTAGTCGCCACATTTTATTTTTATTTCATTGCAAAATTTGGTTTGTTATAACTAAAATAAAAAGGATGACTAAGCAACTAGAAAAAAAATGCAAAAGAAAAAGAAATAATGGGCTTGGACCCAAACTGACCGAACTAAACATGATTTGGTTTCATTAGAGGTTTTAGAGCATTTTCAAACGAGTTAGCAAATTTTTTTTTTTTAATTGTTATTTGTTAACTTATTTGACGCTTTTAGACTATCTTAAAAATTTGTCACCCAAACTACTTTAAAATATTAATCTAATAACTTTCTCTTATCTTTTGAAACCCAAATTTTAATATTCAAAATCTTTACCAAACAAATTTTTTCAATAAAATATATTGCGGAACTCAACTTGTTAACTTGAACAAGTGGCATTTGGCCTTGTAATATACAAGGTCAATTTCTAATTTTTCAATTTGCTAATTGGGTTGCTACTTTTGTTGGAGATACGTTTTTTCTTAGTACCATAACAAATTTAACTTTACTATCCAACTACTACCTCGCTTGGAGATGCTCTTAGGTAAAACTAACAAACCAATTTGTTTCCCATTTACTACAAAAAAAGTGCAATAGTCACCAATAGACAATATTGGAAAATAATTGCAACGAGTAAAAAAAATTTGAGTTTGTGTAGAAAGTGTCATTTTGGCGCTGTTTGTGTTAACAGTGACAACAAATAGTAGCAACCATTCAGCACTACTGTCTGATAGTATTCCTCTTCACTTGAAAGTGAGAGGTCTTAGGTTCGAATCTCGTGGATGGTGAATTCGATATCAAATTAGATTTCCCATTGTGTGACTTAGCCGAACTTCTCTTTCTCTTAGTGTAAAAATGTCGATATACTAAATATAAATACAAAATAGTAGTAAAGGGTCCCTTTTTACACCAACGCCCACATCTTTTACGCTTTGCCACTACTAACACTATTCTT